AATCAATAAGGAGGGGCTGTAGAAATAAGCTGGAACCATATGTGTGAGTACTGTGACACTAAACTGAAACAAAATAGAAGAGATTGAAAAGAATCAATGACTGTCTCCCTTCCAATAAGGCTACTTTGAAAGGCTTCTTCCTGGTACCTACTCTTGTTGCGCAGCTTAACATATTTCTCTAATGAAACTTTTATTTGAGAATTACTCACTCTTCTGTAGTATACCCTCAGCCCCCTGTACCTGGCACATCATAGGTTTGTTGATGATCAATGAAGGTTTGTTGAAATTCATCAGGAAAAGATTTGCTTTTCTAACCAGTATTCAGTTTAGAATGTTCAGTCTGCAGGCTATGGAGTTTTAGACCATCTGGGTTCATAACCCAGCTTTACTATTTAGTAATTGTGTGGTCTTAGGTAAATTACTTGCTTTCATTTCTGTGCCTCAGTTTCCTCTTCTTTCAGGAGAATTACTTTAAGTATGCCTACTTCATGGGGCTGTTCTGCAGATTAAATGGGACAATCCATGTGTTATTTGGCACAATATTTAGCAGTGACTTAAGGTTCTATTCATATTAGCTGATATAATTATTACAGAGATGCAGTGTTTCTTTCCCCAAATATTCTAATAGAAGTTTTCCTTTTTTATATATAAATGGACAACATAAAACCTCCAAGATAAACCATATAGTTCTGGGGCTTGATTTGATAACTTAGCATGTTTTCTAACCCACTTTCATACTCCCAAATAACAATGCCTATCAGATTAGAGAAGCTAATTTACTTTTGCATGATACTGGTTGCATTTTTGTTCGAAATACACTGTACTTTGGAGAACTCTGAAGTCTGCTCATTGGCTAGCATAGAGTTTAAAGCTAAGTTTCAGGGTCTAAGATAAATTTCATGTCCTGCCTCACAATGTCTGCCTATAGACTTTTGCCTGCTTGAAACACATTGAAGATTGTGAAATTGATGGATATACCCTGATGCCACATACTGCTGTCACCCAGCTGGAAAGTTAAGACACTGTTACTTATCCCTGAGAGGGGCTGTTGTTCATGCAACTATTTTGTTCATTTGTTCTTTCATGGGTAATTGCACTGAGTAATAAAAACACCTACTCGACTTACAGTTTGGCAGAAACAGTAGCTTATGTTTTCTAGAGACAAAATTAGAAGCAGGCTCCCTGGACCCATCCCTAAGTCAAAATAAAATAGAATGTCTAGGGAAATGCTGTGCCTCCCAGTAAGTATGGTCATGGAATAATATTGTTTAGGTCAAGATGTCCCAGAATAAGAGGACAAGGGAAGGGAAAGGAGGAAGAAAAATGTGTATTTCAGTAATATGTTTTCATAGAGATGGAGAGCTGTTTTTGTTTTCTTACTTTGCTCTTTGCACATAGGGGGGAAAAAAGACCTCTCTAGCACCCTAATCCTCCTCCTATAACTATCCAAAGAGAAAAACTGAGTACACATTGGGAAGGGGTTCTGGCTTAAATTGTATTTTATTTATGATATTGAAAATTACCATCCTTTCTGGGAGCTCATTCTATTCTTCCCCATAAAATCTGATCATTCTGTTGGCAAGTATTTAGGAAGCAATAGCTGTATGTAGGGAAAAAAGGAAAAGTAGAACAATAAGACACTGTCCTTCTGCTCCAGAACTTGAAATCTCATGGAGATATTTATTCAAATAATTATATCAGAGTTAAAAGAGAGGTACAGAGGGCTGTGGGAACTCAGAGAATGGAGAGTTTTTTTAAGTTGGAGACTTCGTGGAAGGTTTCATGGAGAAAGGAGCTTTTGGATGACTCTGGGATTTCCCACTGCCCTGGGTAAGAGAGGGCATGGTGACATGTAGCGATGAGGGAGGGGGCAGAGGTGAGCTAACTGGGAAATGCAGAGCACATTTAACCTAGGCAAACAGTATGAAGTGCCTAACCACAGGATATACCACAGTGGGAGTGAGGTCTGGGCTCACTAGTGGAAAATGACACTGAGAAAGTAAGTTAGGACTTGTCAGGGAGGGCCTTGAATGCCAAGCTAAGAGATTTTAATTTATTGTCTAGGTCAGTGCTTCTCCTCCTTTCAACCAATACGCACTTACTAGAAGAGAACAGCAAAGAATGTGGCTTCCTCATGGGGAGGAGGGAAAGATGAACAGGTGGAGTGCAGGGGGTGTTTAGGGCAGTGCAACCTATTCTGTATGGCAGATACATGACATTATGCATTTGTCAAAACTGTAGAATGCACCACACAGAGTGAACCCTAATATAAACTGTGGGCCATAATGAATCAATATTGGTTCATCTGTTCCATAACAAGCATACCACACTAATGCAAGTGTTAATAATAGGAGAAATGCAAGTTAATAATAGGGGAAAGTGTGTGTCTCGGGTGTGGTGGGAAGGGAAGAAGGGAAAAGAACATATGGGAACTATGTACTTTCTGCTCAGTTTTTAAGTAAATATAAAACTGCTTTAAAAACTAAAATCTATTTTTTCAAGAGAGCACTCTTTTGGCCATGAAATGGACTACAAAGTCCAAAATTTTTAGAGTTTCCTATTATATCTTTAAAACCACATGAATTTTTCATTCTATTCATTTACATATAAATGGCTATTTTAACATTAACATTCTCCCTAAAACTTTTCAGTAAAATAGATAACCCCCTAAGGATATGATACCTGTACTAAAACACATGGCTTTGATTGACATGGAGTCACTGAAATCGTATGTTAAAAGTGAAACAAAACAAAATTAAACCAGTAAAATGATGAGCAACCAGTTTTTCTTGCAACACGGATATTTTTTTCATCCTTATTTTCATTTCCCAGCATTCATACAGAAGCATATATACTGCCTTTAACTCACTTAGTCAACCTTTGTTTTGTATATAGATGAACTTTGCATTAAGCATCATGAGAAACAGTCAATAAGCCCACTTTGGTGGATATTACAATTGAGACAAGAGTGGTGTATTTTTATAGGAAAGTAATTTATACTAAGAAAAGTGGATAGAGAAATGTAGAATAAGCATTATTTTAGAGGAGATCGACCAAGTAGATGGACTGACCTGGGTTAGGCAGATTTAGATGGATTTTGAGACAAAGAACACAGTTTGATGGGTTCCCCCTGTCATTAGGAGCACAAACTTCTTTCTAGATGTCATTGAGACCCAGTATGACCTTTAAGCTATCACCAGTACACATTCCTCTTTTTGTGTGTAGTGTTTATACTGTAACACAGATAACCTAAGGTTGTTTGGGTACTTATTTGTGTAGATATTCAGACATGTGAACCCAAACCGTGCTTAATGAGGCCCCTTGGGACCCCTGAAGCACATTCACAGGACTGATCTTATTTGTGTTTTCAAGGCACTTTGTTTTCCTTACAAAGACACAACTGGAATCTTTAACCTCATGCAACAGTCAGCCTTTGAGAGAAAATCCCTTAGCTCTCTGCTGGCTAGGAAAAAACAAAAGGCCCATGGCCAGATGCCCATAGGAGAGTAGCCCTTCCTACATAAACTCTTTTCGTCAGTGGGAGAATAAAGAATATGTATAGAACAGGGTTTGTGGTTCCATCTTGAGTTTGAATTCTCTCGCTTATCTATAAAGTGGAGATAGTATCTTGGGTTACATGGAATAAAAAGTACAATGTGGCTGGCGTGTGGGAGATACTCGATAACTGTTAGTTTGCTTCACCCCTCCCCTGCCTCTTCTGCTAGAATTTCACAGCCACCTCCTCCTTGCATGTAGTATTTAACATGAGCACCTACTATGCACTAAGCCCTTTGCTAGGTGTTGGGCACAGGACTGCAGTAAGAGGTAAGACTATGGTTTCAGGAGCCCTAGAGTTTATGAGCAATTCATTTCTTTGTCTCCAATGTCAGCAATCCCGAATGCCTGCTGTTCCTCGCTAAGGTTCTTGATCAGACAGTTGCCATTTAAAATACTAGTGGCTGTTTTTTGACACCACTCTGAATAGTCAGCTGGTTCCAGGTAAACCAAGTCAGATAGGTCCCTGCTGTGGAAAGGTTTAAAGTATACACACTCCAGTGGCTCACAAATCCACATTAGACACTTAGAACTAAAATCTCTCAGTTTTACTTAATTTCCTGTGATCACAAATCATATTTTTTTAAATGCATGAGGCATGTATCATCTTAAGAAGGCAACTCATAAAACGAATTTTTCTGTGGCTTTAGGATCCATGTAAGTGTTTTATTTTTATCTTCTATAGATTTCCTTGTTTCCTTTTTTGTTTTGGTTTAGTTTGTTTTTGGGGGTGGTTTAAAATTAATGCTAAGCTAGATTCTCATTTTAACATTCTGTCATTATTAATCAAATATGTTTCCGTGTATCTCTAGGCTTTTTGTTCTTAATATGGGGACCATCTTCTCTTTAAAGAAAACCATATGCACAGAAATGATAAACATTTGAGTAAGCTTTCATAGCACAGAAGGGATCTCCTTTTAAAAAGATTCATTTTTGTATTACTTTAAGAACAAATATTATCTTATAATGCAGCTAAAGAATCAATTCTTCCCTAAATTTAATATGCCAACTTCCTGTCACACAAAAGCACTCTAAACGCAAATGGAAGAACATTTTTATCCTAAAGAGAAAAATATTTAGGGTATCTCATTCAAGAAAGTAAAACTGCTCCCAGAACCTTATGCTCTTTAAAAATCATTAACAGATTTGACTGATCATCTTCTGTAGAAGATAATGAGAGCAGGACTGTTTGCAGGACCTTTATACGGGCACACTGTATGCATTGACACTATTATAGGGTTCTCTACTCTGATGCCCAAATAAGAGGTGACTTCCTTCCTCTAGTAAAACAACCCGGTCAGCGCTAAAAGGATGACTATGTTCTCTTTTCTCCTTGTGACAACTTAGATATCATTCTAAAAAGACTCATTCAGCTCTCTTTCTGTCTGTCTTTAGAAGATTGTTCTTCAGAACTAACTCCGTAGCTGTTTTTTTTTTCGTTCCAGAAGTCACCATGGTGGACACAGAGATGCCATTTTGGCCCACCAACTTTGGGATCAGCTCCGTGGACCTTTCCATGATGGACGACCACTCCCACTCCTTCGACATCAAGCCCTTCACCACTGTGGATTTCTCCAGCATTTCCACTCCACACTATGAAGACATTCCGTTTGCAAGAGCTGACCCAATGGTTGCTGACTATAAGTATGACCTGAAGCTCCAAGATTACCAAAGTATGATGTTTATTTTCACTTTTCAGACTAAGACTGGAATTGGACTACTCTCTCAACGACACTGGAGTAAATGCTCCAGAGACTGTAACTCTGTAGAGATATTGACTGTTCATTTATTTGTCCATTTGTCCCTGAGATATTAGGTGTTTACGATGTATCAAAAAGGGATGTAGTGTGTAAATACCCCAGATAATCCTTTCCTTCCTTGCCTCTTCCTTCCTTCCTTTCTTTTCCTGCTTCTTAGGAGGAGTTTCCAGCATGATTCCATTGCCTGGTTTTCTCAGGCTAAGAATCCCTCACCCAAACTTCCAGTTCCTTTGGCCATTTTTAAGTTAGTAAGTAACCTTATATAATGTATCATCACTAAATTGCAAAATTATAGTCCATGTTCCCTAATCCTGCAGTTGGAAAAACTTCCACCTCAACCTATTTTTCAGCACAAATTTAAATTTTGGCATAGTAGTCTATTGAAAAGTCTTGATGCCATTAACTAAATTCCCATAGAAACAGCGAACTCGAGAAAAACTGAAACTGCATTTTTCAAGATAAAATAAAATTCTATGATGCTGTTTCCTTGATTTTTATCTCTGTGTGCTGATATGCTGGTTTTCTAAAGCCACCATTATGTAATGGGCAACCCTTACTTGACAATAAGTAAGAACTTCCTGTATTTCTAGTTTTTTTGGTTTTTTTTTTTTTTTTTTTTGTAGACAAATAATATACTTGGTTATATTTGTGTGGTTTTCAGTTAGAGCCTAACAGGGAAACTTAATAGGCCTGCTGCTCACCAGGGAGAAGCAGTACTCACTTCCCATAGGTTCTCTCTCTATCAAAGGTGATTTCACAAACCACCTTTTCTGACTCAAACCTGATAAACACCTGGTCTCTTATTTTTCATGTGCCTTAGAGCCCGGCATGCCATTACCTTTCCAAGGCAGCATTCCACCCTGTGTTTCTTTTGCAAGAGCTGTTTAAAATTCTCTTAAAACGCACATTTAAATACAAATGTATAATTTACTGTTGTGATGAATGCCAAATACAGCACATGACGTAGCAAAAGCAACCTTAATTCTCACAAATACTATTATGGTGTCTCTCAGAACTTTAGTATTACAGGGCATTGAAGGGTCAGAACAACAGCCTTAATTCCCTTCCCTGTTTTATTTTGACAAGTGAGGCTCAGGGGTGTTGTGACTTGCCTGTGATTACAAAGTCTACTTTTTCCTCTGCTTTTTCGTGTTCCCTAGTGCTCCTACATTTAAATAAAATATGGCAGTGAGGTGTGCCCTGGTGACTTGCCCCGTTGCTTTTTGAGCAGGTTTTCACGTGCTGACTGTCTGCCCATACTTCTTTGTACATAGGTGCCATCAAAGTGGAGCCTGCATCCCCACCTTATTATTCCGAAAAGACCCAGCTGTACAATAAACCTCACGAAGAGCCTTCTAATTCCCTCATGGCAATTGAATGCCGTGTCTGCGGAGATAAAGCTTCTGGGTTCCACTATGGAGTTCATGCTTGTGAAGGATGCAAGGTAAAAAAAAAAAAAAAGATCTTCAAAAAATTTGCTGAGAATTTACCTGTTTTTCATTCATTTTCTGTTGCAAACACATGACAAGGAATTGAGATAAAATTGTCAAACTTTTTTTGGGTAAAAGCCATTCCTCAAATGATAAAACATTTGAAAACCTAAGAAAACTGATAAACATGGAGAGGCTTGGCCTTACTTCTTTCTCTAAATTGGTCATTTGAGGCACTGATCTAATTCAACCCATGCATCTTGCAGATTAAAAAATAAAAAAGTTACTTCTTTAAGGTGTCATGGCAAGACAATGATGAGTGGGTCCAGAATCAGATTTCCTGAGTTCCCTAGTGTTTTTGTTGATTATACCATGAAATATTTTGTATATATAAGGCTTGACAGATTTGATATCTAAATAACTATCTTCAGTTGATCCTTAGAAAAGTTCTATAAGGATGGGCTTATTTGTGGCCACTTCACAGATACAGAAATTATGAATTAAGGAGACTTGCCCATGGTCATCCATTAGCAAGTGGCAGAGCAAGGACTAAACCATAAATCTTATGACTCTTAAACCAGTGTTCTGTGTTTTCTGATTTCAGCATCAGTTTGAGCCCTGTATTATGGGAAGGCAACAGATAGAACTGTTTTGGAAAGCAGATACTATTTCTCTTCACCTGCTTTTTTTGTGAAAAAGGGTACTTGGGAAAGTTCAAATGTTTAGTTATATTTTTCCCAATTATTAAGAAAATATTAATCCACTCATATTTTAATGTGTAGTCTTTTAAAAGAATTGATTTTAATATACTCAGTGAATAAAATAGTAATAAAATTATGTTTATTATATACTCTAGGGCTTGGAATAAATTATCCATAAATATTACCTTATAAAGTAAACAATATATAAGATCAAATTCAATCCATAGCTGGGCTTTTTATTCAGAATAAAGATATACAACAACAGTTAGGGAGGTGTTAGAACATCTGGGTTCTTAACTGGATGGTGGGCCAAAAATGGAAATTAATATTTATGCAATGTCAGCCATGTACCAGATATTGTGTACAATGCTTTTACATACGTCATCTTTTAACCACATTCTGCAATTTTTGTGTCTATAAAATGATGTTGAATTATCTGACCTCTAAAATCTCTTCAGTTCAAACAGCTGATTGCTCTAAAGGTAACCTAAAGTGAAGAGACAGGCTAGTAGTCAGCTGGCCCACTTGCCCAAAGTAGCTAGCCAGTCACATAAAGGCTGTAGGGCTCAGTCACCTCACATGTAAAATGACTTGGTTAGATTAGCTATCCAAGGTCTTACTTCTTAATAAGGTCCCAAAACCCAAAATGATTCCTTAAAATCCTCCTGGCAAAAGATGTTTTCATTTAAAACACTAAAACCCATTCATTCTGTGATTAAAACTAAACTATCTCTGATTGTATGTGGAACCATGATGTAGAGTCAGTTGCTTAAGATCTCAATGAGTAGTAAGACATGTCATTTTATTGAGTTAGATTTATTTTATTTTTCAGTGAATAAATTGTTACTAAATTCTGAGAAATACCTGAAGAAATCATTCAGCTTTGCTCATATTGGTAATTTATGTTGATAAATAAATTAAAAATAGTATGATTGGTTTAGGTTTCCACAATAAATTATTGCTTTTTATGGGCTGGTAAAGCACTTAGAAAACTAGAACATTTAAGCAAATGTTTCCATCATTCCATCAGTCAGATATTTGTGGAGTTAAAATTACTGAGAATAGCTAAAAACTGAAAGATGGAAACATTGTCAGTAATTGGTTATGGTGATTAAAAGCTGAATTCTAAGGGCACAAAAACTTAGAAGATAAAAGCAAAGAAGGAAAGTAGTGAAAAAGAAGAGAGAGAAGGGAGGAGAAAATCCAAGTACCTTCAAGGTAGGTACAGAAAGGGTCCTAGGGCAGAGATGGAGAACAAACACTTACTAAAATCTGAAGAATACAGGAGTCCTTAGCCTGCCACAGATAAACAAATGAATAACAAAAACAATAGAATAAAATACAGGGTACTGTAAACTAATCTGCAGCAACTTGTATACTATCCAAAATATGGGTTACAGACTTACCAGACTAAAATGCAAAGAGGGTTATGCTGACCTTGGAAGGGAAAAGAGAACATGTACTCATTTAAAGATAAGAATAAGAAAATTGTTAGTGAAATAATATAATTTGGCTTCTCCAAGTGTAAGTCAGCAATTCTCAAAGTATGGTCTGAAAGTCTCTAGGGGTCCCTAAGACCCTTTCAAAGCACCGGTGAGGTTGAAACTATTTTCATAACAATACTGTGTTGTTATTTACCATTTTCACCCCCATTCTTTCAGGAGTGTAAGTAATATGTTCCAGAAGCTACATGACATGGAATGATTACATAGCTTTTATGGCTAATAGAATGTTTCCCTGTATGTTCTTGTACATAATAATTTCTCAGTTTTAATTTCTAGTCTGATAGTATCGGTAGATAAAGCCCATGTGATTTTTAAGAGAGTTAAGGGGTAGTGATAACAAAAAGTTTGAAAACCACTATTATAAGGCATTGAAGCTAATAAAAAATACCGAACTTTTGTAACTTTGGAATGAAACAAAATTGCTGCCACAATCTGAATGCAGCTAAACTAGACCAGTGGCAGTCAGTAATCAAAGATCTCCTTAGCTTGGCAACAATATTCCATGAAAAGCCAGGAAGGCAAAATTCATAAATGTGTTTGATTCACCTGTATGTATTTTCTGAAAGGTGCTTTGGCAGTTTGATCATTTGCCATTTCAGTAGAACATAGGCTATCCTGATAATTAAAATACAGTTGACCACAAACCTGCAGACTAATTTGTGGATTGATAAGAATAGTTATGTTGTTTATGAGAGCTGTTAGTAGTTCTTCTTAGACAATTTTACAATGCCAGTAGAACAGGTTTATATTAGTGATCCTTGCTAAAATTCTAACAGGAATAAAAAAATTGGGTTTAAATCAAAGTGAAATAGTGACAGAATCATGGGTGTATTGATATTGCAGACTTAGGTAAAATACAACCTATGGGTACTGAATAATATATATACCTAAGACTTTGCAAATCTGTCAGTTATTGCTTACAAATTGGACACTTCTTTTTTTTCTCTTAGTAGTTCCTAGTTTCATCATATTTTTCTATCTTTAGTGAAAGATCATTTTAGAACCATGACTTACCTGAAAAGATAAGTAAATATGATCTACCATATAACACAGCATAATCTGTTTTTGTATTTCTACGTAGGACCCTAACTCAGGAAGAGTTTTGTGCTTTATTTTACCTATCCCCCCACCCCCTGCCCCTGGTGTTCCCACATGCCAGTGGTACTTACTGATTCAGCTTCTGTGGGCCCTGCCACTTCATAGGAAAGCTGAATGCAGACCCAGCATATGGCCTTTAATCTCATTGTAAAATTTATAACACTATTCTTAGGTCTTATTACACACATAGTTTTCTTAAAAGTAAAGCGATTAAGGAGAGGTTGGAGAAAACTTTTTAAAAGGCAAAAACAAGAAACCATGCATCACCTTCTCACTGACAAGTATGAAGACTTTAAATATAAACACAAAACAGTTTTCTGAAATGATGACTAATTTGTCTCCATCACAGCAGTTCACAAATTTCATGATAATAAGAAGAATCAGTTGTTAAAACTACACATTGTTTAATGGACTCAAATATAAATAAGAGTGTTGTTAAAGAGCATTTCTTTTTCAGTAATATAAAGACACTTAGGAGAAGCCTGCTTCATTCTTCAAATCAATAAATAATTGTACAGGAAAACACTCAGTAATAGCCTTATATCTTCTTCACTAGATTTCTTGAAAGAGTCAAATGATAAGAAAATAGTTGGTTATCATAAACTTAATGTTTTAAAAAAAAAGTTCCAAGCTGTGTGCCACAATCTGTATATATTCAGTTCAAGATTTAATGTACATACACAGTACATAAGTGATATTCAGAATGATTATTCTTTAATAGTAAAAGACCTGAATCATCACAAAAGGATATAATACTCTTTGAAAGACATCATATAAATCAAAACAAAAATTTGCATTATGAAGGTTAAACATAAATAATTTCTTATAAAAAAGCTATTCTCTTCAGCCACGCCAAGTAACAGTACTCTGGGACCTGCCCCTTTCCAGCTAGCCAAGCAGCATTTTCAAGCACTAATAATAGTTTTAAAACATGAAAATCAGAAAAGTAGTCAAGAAATAATCATAAAATATATATGATCACAATGGCAAAAAAACAAAACAAAACTTCCTACCAACATTTATCAGGAGAACAGTTCTGTACATTAGCCTTCTTTTAACAAGTGAACAAAATACCTTTAGTATTCAAAGATCCTCAGAACCCACTGAGAATTAAGGAGATTTCAACTTCCAGCAGATCCTACATAGGACATATTCTTTGAGATGCTACTGGTCTCACAAGCAATAAAGAAACCTTTCCAAAACAACCAACAATAGCAAAACAAAAAAAATACTAGGTCTTGAGTTGTGAGCTGCAGGCACACGTCGTGGGCAGGGTTTCCCTCGTGTTGGATATGCCCATAGGAGTAGTGAGGTACAGCATTGCCCCCAAAGCAGGTGCCTGTATAACAGTTTTTGGAGCCATCAGCTTGGAAGGGCTGAGTCTGGGGCTTTTTGAATTAAGCTAGAATTCTCAAGGGAATCTGAAATAGTCACTTCCAACAGAAGCTTCTGCAAATTCTCTGTGGAGGAAAGAATCCACAGTTTAGACCTATGGGATTCCCACAGTGTAAGGTCAAGAAATGAGTTCAAAAGTAAATATTAACAAGCACATAAGAAAGAATCAACATGACGACATTCATCAAAAATAAACAAAAACAGAATTAAACCCCTCCACCCCTACCCAAGGGAAGTAGATAATAGGATTGCTCAATCTATTGAGCAGTAAATGCAATAAATATTAGTGAGTAATTAATGACAAAATATAGAACAGCAGTCTATGAACTGGTTAAAGAAAGAAGACAGAATCACAGCAGTGAACAAGCAGCAGCACACTATCAGGAATGACCCAGTGGATTTGAAAATAAACCAAGTGAAACTGCTAAAAGTGACAAATAAACTTATTGAAATAAAAATTCAGTGAAAGGGAAAAAAAATTCAGTGAAAGGGTTAAATAGCATACTGGACATAGTAGAGAAAGGATTACTGAACTGGAAGACAAATGCAAAGAATTACTGAGAATGAGACTAACAGTATCTTAAAGAATATGTCCTATCCAGAATATGCTAGAATTTGAAGCCTTTTTCAGTTCTTGAAGGATTCATAGGATCTTTGAATCTTAAAAATGTATATCTTTTTCATTAATGAATATAAGAGTAATATACAACTGTTCTCACTGGTGAACTTTGGTGAGAAATGTTTGCTTTTACTTTTGCCATTGTAATTATATTTAAATCTTTCATAATCTTATTTGAATGCTGTTCTGATGTCTACTTTTGCAATAAATATTAGTGAATAATTAATGACAGAAAAATGGAAAATAGAAAAGAAATTCAGAAACATTGAAGGCTAGAATAAGAAGGCCTAATACTTATCTAACTGCAGTGTCAGAACTGATAAACAAGAGAAACCACGATGCAGAAAACAACATGTCCAAGAAGATAAGTGAAAAGAAATCCATACCTAGACATGCTGAAGTAAAACTGCAGAATATTGAAGACAAAATACATAAAAGCAACCAAAGAGGAAAGAAGAAAAAGCACCTTTAAAGTCAATTGACAGCAGACCTCTCAGGTACAACAATGGAAGCATAAAGATAATAGAACAAAAAATGAAATAGAAAATAGTACAGTACCCTGTGATCTTTCAACAGTGAGAGTGAAATGAAAATATTTATGGGTTAGGAAAAAAAGTGAAATAGTAAGTTTCAAGGATAGTAAACCATAGAGAGGAGAAGACATTTGCAACACCTGTAACAGATAACAAAGTAGTATCTAGACTATATATAAAATTTATAAAATTCAATTTTAAAGATAGGACAATCCATTAGAAAACTGAGAAATGAAAAATCAGGCAAATACAAATTAAGATCATACTTAAGAGTCTATTTTATACATACTACATTGCCAAAAATTAAGAAGTTTCACAGTACCAAGTGCTGGAAGAAATGGAACTTTTATAAACTGCTGGAGGGAGTGTAATTTGATGTAATCACTTCAGAAAACAATTTAGCACTATCTTGTAAAATGTCACATTCACATATTGCACAACACAGAAACACCACTCCTAGGTGACTCTTGTACATGTGCAACATTAAACATTTATGAAATATTGTTCACAATAGCAAAAGACTGGCAACAATTCAATCATCCATCAACTTGAAAATAAATTAGTAATTTGCATTGTCATTTACAATAGGGTATAATTAATTATGAAAATGAAAATTCATAGCTTTTCACAAGAAAGTAGATAAATTTTAGAAATCTAACACATTTTTAAAAAGTAAAAGTTCCCAAATTCTGTATGAAATATGTTACCATTTAAGAAAGTCCCAAAACAAGCATAACTGAGCAGTGTATCATTTAGCTTTATAATTTTTGTGATAAAATTCTATTTTCTTAAAGGTCAAAGAAATGATATACACAAAACAGGGAATTCTGATTACTTTGCCCAGGGTACCACAGGGGGTGAGGATGGGATAAAGGAAGAATGCATCAATGTTCTGGTCATGATTTTAAATTGGGGGTTAGACAGTGGGCTCATGTGTGATAAATATCTTATTTTGCTTTATAATTACATGTATTTTCTACATGTTTCTAGTTAATACTACATTTGATAACAAAAAAATAAGAGGTAAAGAGTATGCCAACGGCCTTGTAGTATCTCGGTCACAGTGTAAGATCACACAGTACCAGAGGTAGCCCAGAAAGGAAGTTAACTGACGCACATATTCATTGAACAAATTTTTTTAATGAAGCATTGTTGGTGTTTGGGTTGTATCCAGTGGCATAAGAGACCATCCCTGCCCCCATGGAGCTCACAATTTTAAATGGGCATTGTGGGGGGAAGCAGAAAATAAATACCTTAATCTAAGAAGTAAATTATACGGTATGTTAGAAAGTCATAAGTTCTATTGGAAAAAGAAAAGAAAACCTAGGGCAGAGTCAAAGAGCTCAAGAGTTCTAGAGAGGGGAGGGAAGGACAGGCTACAGTATTAAATAGGATGGGTAAGCCTCACTGAGACTCACAGGTGGACTGTCAGCAAAACTTGAAGGCAATGAGAGGAATAAGTAAGCGTGCATTTAGAGAAAGAGCTTTCCATGTGAGAAAAAGAAGTCAAGAGTGACTTCAAGGAGTTTGGCCTGAGAAACTTGGGGCATGGAATTGCATCAACTCAGACAGAGGAACCTGCAAGTGAAGTCAGTCTGTGGATAAGATCAGGATTCCAGTGTTAGTCATGCTGGGTTTGAGATGGCCATGAGATTTCCAAGTGAGTATGTCAAGTAAGCAGTAGAACATACTTGTCTGGAGTTCATGAAAGAAATCTGGAGAAAGTCACAATGCATGTCAGAGGCAGAATGAATACTAACTGCTTTTGATATCAAAAAGGGCCAGATAAATTTGGAGGGATTAAGAATCGAGTTTCATGCAGATGAACACCATAGAGATGAATAGGAATACTCTGAACAATGACAAAAAAATGGAGTTAGAAAACATTTCTGACTAGACTTTTTTTCAGTCTTTCAAAAAAACATAAATACAGCAGAAATCAGTTAGCCTCAAATGGACGTATGGGCCTTTTTGAGATAGCAAAATAAAAACCTCCATTTTCACAGGATTTATAATGACTCCTTGTATTATTTCCTATTATCTTTTTGCTTGTAGGCTACACAGTTAATGGAGCTCTCTTTCAACTGCCTAAATAAATGAAGCCAATTCTGTAGGATGTTATGCAACATAGAGGATTCTAAAAAATTATCCACATGTGGATTTTTATTGGCTCTGATCATGTTTTCTAATGAAATGATTATAACTTTGCCAAACTGCTTAGCACAATTATAAGGGCTGGGGCATGCTATTGGAATGATTTCCAGAGAGATTGAACTGATTACATGGTGTTTTATTTGCATTACATTAAATCCAGAGCCCTTCTTAAAGCATGCTCAGATATAAATGTAGAGCCAAGATACAATGAATGACATCAGTTGGATGTGGTCACTGTCTAGAGCTAAAAAAGGATGCTAGAGATCTTCTGGTTCTTTATTTGATAGCAAAGAAAACTGAGTTCCAGAAGGTTAAGGGACTAAGGTTTCAAGTCTCCAGTGACAGACGTGTCAAGAACCTACCTTTTCTGATACTGAGGACATTGTGCCGTTAGCCAAATGTGGCTGCTTCCATGTGTCACAAACACTTAAAATTTGCTTCTTTTCTCCATATCCCCTTGTAGGGTTTCTTCCGGAGGACAATCAGATTGAAGCTTATTTATGATAGGTGTGATCTTAACTGTCGGATCCACAAAAAAAGTAGAAATAAATGTCAGTACTGTCGGTTCCAGAAGTGCCTCGCTGTGGGGATGTCTCATAATGGTAAGTGAACACACAGTGCCATATACTTTGTTATTCTCTTTATGGCTGTCAGATCCATAGACAGTAGGGCCACTGCTGAGAATGCTTGCAGTTTTTCCACAGAATGCCAGATTTCAGAATATTACATGCTAATAAAGCATTTATCATATTGATCAGAGTTCATAAGCTTTCAGTGTGGAATCCTCTCTGTGCTTGGGTATCGGTCATGATGGGAGACAAGACTTGAAAATCTGAGAGGTGATGGAAATAACCATAGTATTAAAAAAAAGTAATGAGAATTGTGCTTCATTTTTATGTTGCGTTAATAGTATTAAAAACAATTATACTTATGTGTATCACTAGTTTCTGCTTTAATTATAAGAAAATTCTGCAAATGTCTGGGTATGGAACTTCATGTAGCATATCAGAACTTAGAGTTCTACACTTTTTTTCCCTGTTTACTGAGCAAAGATGAGTGTAAGTAGAGCAGTGTCTTGTACTTCAAGGAACATAAAGAACTGTGGGTAATCAAAGTTGTAAAGTTCCACAAAATCTCTGTGTCCATAGAAACATAAGAGAATAAATTTTCATTTTTTAAACCCATATCTAAAAATCAAGCTTATGCTTTTGAGTGTTGATTTAAGAAAAAATGTCAAAGACCTGAGAAGACCCATATTTTCATGTACTGTAGACCTAACACAGTAAAATCATGGAAGATAGGCTTGTTTGAAGAAATAGTTCTTAATTTCCACTTAGCTCTGATTTTAGCTAGTTCATAAAACAAATTTTAGAAATAATAACTTCATAGCACTTGTCAACTTGGCAGATACTTGGTTTTCACAGTGGAAGTAAGATATTTGGGAATCACTAATTGGTTGTATACTGTCCTTTAAAAATCATTTATAAAATTATATTTTTATCCTTACTATGGATCATTTCCTCAAAAGCAAAACTGTATTATGAGGAGATCTATCAGCTATACAGGACAGGATGGAAATTTGGTCCAACTTTCCCCAGCAATTGATTACATCTGCTATGTAGCAGTGTGCAATTGTAGTCATTGCTAAATTATTTGCTGGGTTAATTCCATTGATTTCCTTTTTATTTCGGACTTCATAAAACATAAGATCACATTTTCAAGTCAAATGTTATATTTTTAGGTGATGCAATCAAGTTGCAATAAACTTATTTTATCTTTATGAAGAAATCTTTGACTTTGAGGTCATTATCATTAAGAAAACCTACATAGGAAAGTAGGTTCTAATGCTGTTTTTTTGCCCTTTCTAATGCATATTGATGTAACATATATTTCCTGTCATGTGAACACATTCATGTAAAATATATCCCCTACTGCTTATTGCTCATAGGTAAATAATATTTTTAGCCCAGTCTGTGTAATATTGATGGTATAATTTTCTCTTCACACAGAAAGCAAAGAAAGGTATCAGAAACTTAATAATAAGACTATCTTTGACTTCATATAACAATTTACTTCTGTGTAGAGAGAAGAGCAATCTTAATAATGTTCAGTTGAGTTCTTGCAAAGACAAAAAAAGGGACTTAAATGTCATGGCATCAAAGACTTAGGCAGTTCCACATTTGCAGGATTGCAGACATGACTAAGAAAATCCCTTCTCAGGGGTTTTTATGGGAATGTGTTTGCTGCACAGAAAAAAAAAATCAATAATTGATTACATCTGCTGTGTAGCAATATGCAACTGCGGCCACTGACTGCAATACGATCTATACACAAGGAGGGAAATGCAGCAACTAGGTTTTGATGTATTTTGCCTGCTGTCCTGATTAAGGAAACATTTCTAAGCACACGGTTGTCTAGGAGGTTGTAGTAACTATCTAAAATTAATTTATTAATTTTTAATGTTTTGTGTGAATAGACCTCAGTGTAATAGCCAAAAAAGACTTCTAGTGTTTTACCAAAATCAGCACCTCACTGAGTCCAGTGCACACAGGGAGAAATGAACATCCCCTTATTAAATGCACTCCATTCTGTGTTGTTTCTGTTTCTGCTCTTTGGACTCAGTGTGGTCCATTCAGTCTGTTTGGCTTCCCCATTAGCCACCTACTCCAGCTTTGAAGGCTTCTGAAGTGACTTGTAGGAACCTTCAGGGGCCTGGAAAGTCTGCTGTAAAGTCACTGAAATCTAAGATGCTGAGTCTTTTCAACGTTGAAAATTCTACGATTCTACATAAACCAAACAACCTCCCTAACTGAATCTTTCACTTTTCAGCCATCTATTCCATATCTTTTTTTTTTTATTCTGTATCTGATAGAGTCACCATCATCCCAAATATCTTGGCACCTGGCATCTGTTAGTTTCCTAAATTTAAGTTTCCACCTATATGTTTTGGTGCCATAAAAAGATAATTCATATGCCTGAATCAGGTGTTCTATATGTTCTGATCAATTACTCATCAGTTTAAGGCAGTAAATTGCTGACCACATAATGATGTAGCCCCAGAGTACAAATCCAAAGCAGTTGGAGCTAAAGAAACTATAAATGATATGTTTGGTTAATGGTAAATGGTTCCATCTTCAGAAGAAACATTCCTTTTGATCATGACCCAGTCTGAACATCACAGAAGGAAGGGATTCCAGAATTCTTCCAACTAGAAACATAATTATTTCTCAAATATCTATCTGCATCATCATTGGGTAGAAAAAGCATCCAAATGTTGGACTGATGTGCTTTGGGAGCAATTTTTCTGTTTTCCTGTAGTGATCAAGATAAGCATACATTGCAGTTATTTTGATCATTTAACAATCTATCATGACTGCTCTGAAGTCTTCCTGAGTCATTCTAAGCACAATCAGTTCAATACTTTGTATGGACAGCTACAGAGGAAAGCTGCAATGGAAAGTAAGGCAGAAATGAAGACCCTGCTTCCTGGGCTATCCAGAGTTGCATGTAACTTACTAAGTGATGATTACATGAGTTACTACTTATTTTACTTTTTGAATTAGCCTAGTTGGTATCTTTGAGAATCTTGATAAAAATACTCCCTTCAATTAATAATAGTTCCTCAGTCAAATGGGCACTCACAAGCATTTTTATGGTTTTTCAAAGTATGGTTTTTGTTTTAAAGTCCCATTGTCAAGATCCGTGACATTAATCATATTTTTAAAATGTGTCCTCTGTATTTTTAATAAGATAATTTAGGCATTAAGAATTTTGACTAGCAAATATGCCATATGCTTTTCATTTATGACCTAAATAATGAAATTATAAGTGTAGGCTGTGCATTTAAAAAAAATAATCTGAAGTAGGGAAGAATTGACTTGTTATTTGTGAGTCATTCAGTGAGGTTTTCCCTATACCGTTGAGATTTGAATAAACATGCTTTTCATAAATATAAAAATTAGAGAAACCTTAGCTTTGCTGATTAGGATAATGTGTTATATAAATGATGGGGCTTTTTCTGTAACTTAAAAAAAAAGCTGTCAACTTTAAAAATAAATTCTCAGCAAATTCATAAAAATCCAGAAAAATGGTTTCACAAATTTTTGTGGCACTCAGCATTTTTAAGGTAGTTCTCTCCTTCCTTGTCAAAAAGAAAAGCCAGAATGGCAAATAACTTTAAACTTGAACATATTAGTTTCCTTCTTTAGTCTTCAATGTGATATAAAGAAAAACTACCCAAATGCTAGCTTTCAGAAAATACAACAAAGTAAGAAGTCCCAATGCACCTGGCAGCTGTGCTTCTCAGGCCCACACAGCCTTCATGGTCGCCTGCAATCTGGCCTGAACCTCCTTTTCCCCCTGGCTGCCCCTTCTCCACTTGCAGTTCAGACAAGCTGTGTGCTTTGCTGTTTCTGCAGAATGCCCTGTGATGGAATACCCCAGGTCTCTGTTACGTCCTTCATTCCCTCTCAGAGTTCTACCTGGCAGAAGGCCCAGTTAAACGCCTTCTCTCCCACGGGACTTTTTTAAATCCCCCTGCTGCTTCTCCGTGTTTTAAACCTCCTGCAGCGCCACGCTCTACCTTACAAAGCAAGGGAGTGATCAGATCTCTTATTACCCAAACGAAACTACTCCCAACAATAAAAAGGATAAAGCAGAGAGAGAGAAATAGGGAAACTCACCAGATGGCCTATGCAGTATTATGAATTAAGACATGGGTAAGGGCGAGAAGAAGTGATTTGAGAGAAATAAGAGAGCAGTGACCAATAAATACAAGTGTGTCAGGGAAGAGAGGTCATCAGAGATACCCAGGGGGTCTAGTCTGGGTGACAGAATGGATCAACCAAGAGAAGAAAACAGGAAGAGGAGACAGTTGGGAGAGAAAATTAAAAGTTCGGTTTTAAATTGCATGTGAGATGCTTATGAGATGTCCAGCATCCATGTATAAAGGAGTATAGGAGGAAGTGAACATGAAGGATCCAAATCTCAGGAAAGAAAATCCAGGAGTCATTAGCATATTTTGTGAGTTGGACAAAGGAGAAAACCGATGAGGAACCACGGAATATAAGCCAAGGAAGAGGGGCCGTCAGAGAGGTCTGGAAATAGGCAAAAAAGAGGAGAACCAGAAAAGCAGAAACCACGATGAGAACACTTTAAACTAAGAGGGTGGGGAAGGTCGGCAGTATTAAAGAAGGGCTGAAGGAAGGCTGCTCTTTCAATAACCTCAGTGGTGGGAGGAAGACAGCATCAAGGGAGGCCATACCAGGGTCACCACCTCCAACACCTGCTTAGGTAGAAAGGCAGGAGATAATAAAGGAGGAATCACCTGTTGTATCTTGGATCTCCCCTACTGGACACATCTTGGTGTACCCTTCAGTCCAGTCTGTCCAGAACAGTGCATCAAGCAGCTGTGAATTAATTCAATGATGATTAATTCAAAGACTGCAGGGAACTGGGTTGTTTTGAGTCTGAAGGTGGGGCCGTGGTGTTTTGCTCATCTCTGCTTTGGAAAGAAATGCACGCAATGTTTAAATGTCCCCCACAAATCATTTGAAATATGTCAGCCTTATATGAAAATAACTTCATATTGGTGCTAAGGCTG